TGTGTGTGTGTGTGTGTATGTATGTATGTATGTATATGTATGTAAAAGATAGTTTAGGGGTTGTAGTGTTGACACATGTCATACGTGACAAGGCAGTAAACGCCAACGCGTACAGACCTCAAACATTAAACGCCAACGTGTAGGCCAATGTGTGCAGACACTAAGCATTGATGTTCATCTTTCGCAATTCTCGCTTCAATAGTAACATGTACAGACGCCCAGCCGTCATATATCCCCAACGAGCATCAAAACACCAAAATGAACATCAACCGGTACAATGCCAAAATGAACATTTAAAATCATTACAAAAAATGAATCTCTTCAACCACCAACATCAAATTAAAAAACCCCAAAATAGAATAATATCACTCTTCACATTTCACAAAACAAAAAGATACAATGTAGCCTTTCAAAATCCTACAAAACCAAAACATACACAACCCTTTAACACATGCCCAAGCGTAGCACGGAAGAAAATTAAATCATAAACCAAACTCTTCATTTTCAACCATCGCATCAATAACATTATGACAACGAGCCCTAATAACAAGCCCGTGCGTAGCACGGGATAGAAAACTAGTATATATATAAAGGAGAGTTAAACAATTGTGGGGATGCCATGTGTCAAGCCAAGTAGACTATTTTTTGTGCTTATTTGGACAATTGTTTGCTGACCCATCAAATAAAACAAATACAACAATCTTCGTACTGGTGATTGCTATCCACTGCCGTCCTTTCTATTTCCCATCCATTTTGCCTCTTTGGGTTCACAATCAACGGCGATCAAGAGTTCCCAGCGGCCATCAACAGTCGTCTAGCGCAAGAGTTCCACCACACTTCTTCCTCTCTGTAATGCCTGCCCGATTCTTCTAATGACGAATCTAGGGATTTAATCGGCGACCGTCTGCTTCCTCAGGCTGTTCGTCTTCCTTCCTCCACTGCACGAGCTTCATTTTTTCATGATTTCAAATACGGAGTAACCAGATTTGGTTTGAAATATGCTGAACAGGTACATGCCTCAGGCTGTTCGTCTTCAATTTTAAGGATTGTCTAAAATTGAATTTCTTGGTTTGCATTTATTGGGTCTTCAAATTTATTCTGACTTTTATGTTTAATGTGTTTTTAGATTTAAAATCTTGATCAAGTATGGTATACTACCTGCATTGGGTTCCTTCAACCTAGCCAACGATTTGAATAATCCTTTTGTTCCTCCAGATTTCCTTGAGTCGAAGTTCTTGAAAGACAACTAGGATGGATGGAGGAGGAGCATGAGCTGGAGGAGGGGGATAATCAGGTAAGCTCTTGAAAGACAATAAAAATCTGCAATATAAGTGTACACTATAGCGTCTAATTGGCTTGAATTTGTTATCATGAGCTTTCTGATATGTATACACTTTTTCCAGTACATGCACATCTATTATTTTTATAGAAATTGGATTGTTTTGTTTAGATGTTATGATTATGACTATTTATTTGAATTAAAACAATTTGGGGAAGGCTTAAGATCTTTGCATAATAATAATGAACAGGATAAAAAAACTTTCACTCTCTTTTTAACCCCTCTCGATGGGTAAAGAGAGAGGTAAGCAAGAAATCTCAGGTATCCTCCATGGAACCTACAACGAGAAGTGCTTCTATTGCAACGAATGACCAGTCTTAGGCTTCAACTGTGAGCAATTCATCAAAATAGATTTATTTATGTTTTTGTTAAAATAGATTTATATCTGCTTTCATTTCAGGTGCATTGCACCTATCAGATTATTATTTTTCTCCTGATTGCTCACTTTAGCCTTCCACCTTCCATGTACTTCAGGTTCCTTTCCTTCCTTCGGTGATTATTTTGGTATAATTTATAAGCAGGTCAGCCATTTCAGGAATTCTCCTCTGTATTTTCACCAATAATTTGTATTTAAAAGATAGCATACATGATACACCCAAAGCTTTATTGCGACTAAAGTACTCATGTAGTGTATCATAGGGCGTGTGCAAAACAGAGAGGTATTTACCATCCACATCATTACAACGTCCATTTATTTCAACACCATCAACTTTGCCTCTTTGGATTCACCATCAACGGCGATCAAAAGTTCCACCGACCACCATCAACGACGATCAAGAGCTCCACCGGTTGGTGCAAGAGTTCCCAGCGGCCATCAACCGTTGTCTGGCGCAAGAGTTCCACCACAGTTCTTCCTCTCCGTTACACCTTCTTGCTTGATTCTTCTAACAGAGGTGACGAATCTAGGGATTGAATTGCCGACTGTCTACTTACTCGGGTTGTTCGTCTTCCTCCATCCACAAAGTGCCCCACGTATTCAATCCAATAGTCATAACGACGTGTTTGATGTAGACAAAGTCAACAGACATGCTCAACAAGTAAGCCAATGCCCAAGCATAAGCAGTTAGGGTGATCTGATAATCTGTCATGACATAAACCACACTTCCTGCAAAGATGGTACATAGGGACAAAAACGTCTTTAGTGTTGGCCAAGGCTGGTGGAGATATAAGGTCTCCCCTATTGCCACAAAGATGGGGACTGCTGATCTGAAGACAATAAAAGTGTCAACATTGGCATGTAGGAGAAGCTCACTGTTTGTGAAAAGAGAAAGCTAAAAAATTATTGCTACAGGTAGGAATCTCCACAAGGTGACAAGCTCAAGATTGTCGCGTTCTATCAATTTGAGCCACCCACATAAGATGTATTTGAATGTTGTGTTGGTGATTTAAGAATATTGAATGTCTTATTGGGAGCAATGTCGCGTTCTATCAAATACAGAGTAACCAAATCTGGTGCACTTTTGTGTGTATGAATTTCCGGGTTGCATTTTTGTGTGTGTGTGAGATTTATTTTTGTATTCCGTTTATGTTTTAGTCGGAAGAGGAACTAATCAGAGCTAGGGATTCGCTGATCGATGGAGATGCGGCATTATATTAGAGATTCCACATCCAAACTTGCTCCCAAATGATATTGGGGTGAGAATGCAGAAAAGATTGAGCACTTTCTCTGGATTTGTCCCAAAGCTTAAAAGGTCTGGTATCACTTCTAGATGACCACAGGTGAAATGGTCCTAGATTATTATTCTATTATTCAAGTTTTGATGCACTAAATTTCTGTTATCTTAACCCTGATTGGCATACTCTGTACAATGATGGGGACCAATTAGCATATAGGGAATTGCTACAGGATTGGAAACTATTATAATGAGTAATCACCTCATATGGTGTAATTTCCAGCTATCAAACTGAAGTGAATGTTATTGGAAACTATTATAATGAGCAACATAGTACTGTTTGTTGACACCTCATATGGTGTAATTACTCGCTATCAGGTATATTTTTACAATATAACAAACCATTGTTAGGACTATCATGTTATGGTGTATATAAGAAAATGTAGGTCAATATTATCATGGAAACATACCAGAGTTAACATTTCTTTAACACCTCTAAATAATGAAATCCAGGCTTAATGAAACTGATCAACCAAAGCATATATCCTTGATTCTTACACAATTACTACACTTACTAAACCTGATAGAAAAATGAATAGAGGGACAGTAAAACATGGTTCAGGAATTAAGGGGATGTAAAAAGTACCTTACAGGTCCATATGTGTAAGGAATAAAGCCATGAAGCCATATGTATCCACTATATTTTGAAATCATAAATCAATATGGTCCTTGAATCAGAAAAGCCACAAATCAGAAACTGCTAATCAATTTGAAATAACGTAGAGTTTAGTGATTCATTGACTTTTGCTACCTCACACTTTGAGAAAAAATTGTTTTGGATAAATAATTTGCAATAGTCAGTTACACCTGCTTGCTTGATCTCTGTAACACCTGCTTACTTGATCTCATGAACCCGAGGGGCATCAATTCCAATAATTTAGCGCGGGAACCATCTTTGTTCGTGGTTCCGGATGACTTTTAGGTGAAGCCTTTGTCCCTCTCAATAAATATTGATTTAATGAGGGAAGAGAATGTGGGTTTTAGTGACATGGAAGAGCAATTGGTCACTGTCGGCATGCAAGAGGTAACACCTGCTTGCTTGATTCTTCTAACAGAGGTGACGAATATAGGGATTGAATTGCCGACTGTCTACTTCCTCAGGTTGTTCGTCTTCCTCCCTCCACCGCACGAGCTTCATTTTTTCGTGATTTCAAATACGGGGCAACCAAATTTGGTTTGAAACAAGCTGAAAAGGTACATGCACTTTTGTGTGTATGAATTTCCGGGTTGCATTTTTGTGTGTGTGTGTGATTTATTTTGGTATTCCGTTTATGTTTTAGTGGGAAGAGGAACTAATCCGAGCTAGGGATTGATAAATATTTAGAAACTGCAAAGGATTTTGAAATCACATTTTCTAATTCATCACTTTTATGAATAAGTCTGTTTTACTCTTGAATGTATTTTTCTTGAGGTGTGCTAGGGGTATCCCAAACTTTGTACCCCAACTTGCACACCACTGTACCACACATAGATAATGGTTATCTGTGTGTCTGTGATACACATACACTACTGGTGTGCAAGTTGGAGTACAAAGTTTGGAATACCCCTAGAAATTTCCAATTTTCTATCTCCCGATATACTATCGACTCTAATTATATTCCTTTCATTCGCAGGCAAGGGCTATGAAGCACTAAACTTTATCATGTTGCAGTTCAAATGCTTGAATCATCTGGGAGGTTTTGATAGGTAGTATCCATCATAAAAAAGGTTTATATCACTTCTTGAATAAATCATTTTATAATCACTACAAACTCAATATTTTTTCTATAATACATCACACTCATTAATACTTGAGTGGCGGTGGGAGTTCTTTTTCCAACTATTAGGTGTTTAGAGCCGAACAAACAGCTGCCCAAATTTGAGTATTTCTCGGATCAGGAATAAGCAATGGGATGGAGATGCTCTAATTCACTGGGATGGAGATGCTTTAACATGGGTATCCAAGTTTCCTTTTTCATTTTTTATTTATCTATATTATCTAATTAAACAAAAATGTATGACTTTATGATGCACGATGAAGGAATTTTTTGAAGCTGCCCATATTTGGTTGATGAGGTATGTTATCTACTCCATATTAAATCTTAGTTGTACTATTGAAAAGGGTAAAATAGTTGATGCATTGAAAGTTCTAGAAAAAGATAGTCGATCATAATATAGTCTCTACCCTAAAATTTAATTTTAAACCAAATTTAATTATTGAAGGCAAAGACGTTGCACACATCGTGTGCATATTTTATCTATTTATGAATTTATTTATTTATTTATTTATTTATTTATTTTCATGGTTGTATTCGGTTAATTCGATCGATTGATTTTGGAATGAAAGATGAAACACGTGGAAAGGAGAGTTTGAAGTTGTGGTCTTCACGGATGGGGCTGAATTAGATGAACAATCAATGTGAAAGACACTTAGCTATGAAAGAACATTAGTAAGTAGTGGAGTTGGTAGGAGCATAGACTCGGTCACGAAGAAGATTGGGAAATGTACTGCAACAGATATGGTCAAGGTGTCTTGATAATGAGAGGCTTACAACATCAAGAACAAAGAGCTACTTAGCACAGATATGCTATTGGATTTTGATTAATGAGGAGGTACTACTATAACTTATCTTGGGTTTAGGGGTGTACTTTAGTAAACCTTTTTTTTATTCCTTATGTTATTATGTTGCGTTTTAACATCTTTTCATTAACATGGATTTTGAAATGAAACTTTGAAATATTCTTAAATATTAGAAGGAGACCATTATTTTGAGGCTCTTGGTATCTTTTTGAGTTTATGGACCTCTAGAACTATGATAGTTTGTAGTTGTTAACATCTGTTTGGGTTAATCAAAAGGGTGCACAACTATCTTTCCTTTCTTCTAATTCACAACATGGAGGATCCTAGAAAAAGGAAAACATATGAATCCAAATATTTAAAAATGCTCAAATTGGAAAGGTTCTAAATACTGTATACTGGTGTACATATTATATACTTATCATTTTACTATAAAAGGTTTTCTGCTAATTAAGTTATGACATAGGCGAATCTCAATATCATGTGGTGAATCTCACATGCTACGTAGTACGACAAATTCCTACATGAGGACAATGCCTACGCGAGAACAACATTCATTAACAATAAGCTCCCACATGAGGACAATGCCTATGCAAGGACAAAACAAAATTCGCACAGGTTAGCACCTCCACTATTTTTATCTAGAATTGCTAAAACTATGTTTGGTTCAAGAAACTTAAAATGGAAAATAAAAGAAAATCAGGGAGAATATATTTTGAATCCAGTGTGTTTATCATTACGACCTGTTTAATATGTTTTTGGAGATATACTTTGAGTTTTTATTGATCCTCTATCATCATTGGACCAATATTGACTAAACTATGAAGTTATGTTGTTTTAAATCTTTTGGGATTATGTTTCTTGAAGCAAGCTTATGTTTATTGCAGGAGTGTAGTTTGCATATTGAAATTGGAGCTAACTGTATAAACTAAGGCATATGTCAATCTAAATTACAAGGCTTAAATTTACTATATAAATGCGGATGCCGCTAGGGGGTTAAGAAGCTCCAACCCATTCTTTGTTGTCTTGGTCTGAATACTGAAGTTAGGTAATTACCACAGATTTAGTATATTCACCTCATATATAAGTCTTTTCCTTCATTACTTGAAAATCTATTTTTTCCCAACAAAAAAAGGACATGTTCCCATTTTCCTTTCTTGCAATACAACCCAAAATCTACAGTATGCAAGCATGCTCATAATCTGGGATTAGTTAGTGCAGGATGACCTGACTCGACTGCTCAACTAGATTTTTAAGCCTCATCTTTGTTTTTGTTATTGTATTTGTGTTTTTTTCCTTTTATGCAAATATGCAATTGCTTCTACAGTATGTTATCCACGTTCATCTCACCAACGAATTAGCTTATCATGTTTTTTATATTAGAGCAACAACCTTGATTAGAATAAGCAAACTCATGATTCTGATTAGTTAGCTACTAAAGTACATTGCATTTACTACATGATGTTAATGTTTGTTTAGTCATGTGCAATTCCAAATCTAATAGATATATTGTTGAAATGATGAAAAACACATGGAAATGAAACAGAGAGAATCAGAAAGAGGAGAAACAAGCCTCACGCCCTACGGGTGAGGTATGCTCTGCCTGTGCAAACTGCGCTTATCATGTTGCCCGCAATAGAAAGTGCGAGCCTGTAAAGTTAATCAGCACAGAATTACTCATTTTCAATTGATTTATTCATGAATATGGATTAGACATTTGGAGTGAGAAGGCTATCCGTAGAAATACAATCAAAACTAGCAGCATGACGTATCTCTGCCATGATGTATCTCTACCATGTGCCCCGTCATTTCAAGACCAAATTTAGAGAGAGTGCGTTCTTTGAGGTAGCAATTGTGTCTTAGTCGAGAGCCTATAACTGATTCCAGATGTTCGTGTTCTGAATTGACTTCAATTTTATTTTGTAATTTTAGACACTCAAGCTGCTCCAAGAAAGAAACATTATCATCATAACTGGATATTTTATGTGAGTTTCTTTATTTAGTATCACTTCAATTTGGCATTTGAAGTATTAATACAAATTAAGTTTTGGTGATTCTACTATCCCAATGGTACTTTTCAAGATATGATTTTCAAACTTTTGTCATTGTTGGATGGATGAAATTGAAATTCATTTTATATTTATAATTATGTTTTTCCTTTGAGATCATGATTTGGTTTATCCAATTGTCGGTTTACTACATACTTTCACTCTAACCTCTCATATTCTCTTTGCTTGATCAAATATGGTTCTTTTTAGATATCGTTAAGAGCTAATTTTACATTTGTCTCACATCCATTTTAGATATGTTAGTTACTGCAAAACACAAGTTCCATTTCTTTATTAACAATTTGTAAACCATTATCTTTCCACAAGAAATGTCCTACTTACCAAATATTTTTCTACACTACTAAAAATGAAATATTCCGTAAAACGCACATATTTCTGGAGAAAAAGTCTAGCTCACCATTATCCCGTTGCGACATATCTTTAATACGAAAATATTACAACAAAATATTTAAAAAAGAGCATGTTACCCAAGCCCGTGCGAAGCACGGGGTAGAAAACTAGTTGTATTGTAATTTGCAGCACAAAGTGCATCACATACACTAACACATTGTGCATTAACAAGTACAAATTCATGATTATAAAATCCTCATTACAAAGCTTTCAAACAAATCTAAAGTGTTTCCCCAAAAAATACATTACAAAGCACATAAATCATTACAAAGAGTTTCACAAAAATAAAAGACCCCTAAAACTGTAAAGTAAAAATGCTAACCAACAAAGACATCGGAAATCAGCCATGTGTTCAGACCTGCAGTCTAGGCTTAATGGTAAGCCAACCAACAAAGACTCTAGAAATGCAAGCACCATCACGTACTCTACAATTGCCATACCTGCAAGGGAAAATAATATTAAAAAAAAGTAGGGGGTATGATTTTCACCACTCCTTGGGAGTACCATAACGAAGTAATGGCGAACAAATGGAATTCAGAAGAAGCATAGTACCTTTTCACAGACAATAATGTTATATGAAGTTCAAATAACAGAACTTAACCATCTATGCCATACAATTCACACAGTGAATGTGATTAAACTCTTGATAAAACTCTGGCAGTGAATGTGATAAAACTCTTGGTAAGAAGAATCAATCTGGCACTGAATGTGATAAAACTCTTGAACCAGACCAAAAAAAGTTTTCATGGGCTAAAGCAGGTCATCTAGAAAAAATATTTTGTCTATCCGAAACTAGTGGAACATATTCTCTTTGTGTTTTTTAGCATTCTTGAGTGTCAGTGCGTGTGATACTATTAACCAAATAGCCAACCTCTTAGGTAATCTATAGTTCTCAAAAGAAGATTCCAAATTTACTCTTTTAAGTAATAGTTTTATTGAAGTGTGCTAAGCTTTAAGTTGGTATTGCCAGGTCGAGCTAGTATATTTCCTCTACAAGAGGGATCTTGTCTACCGGATACCATAAAAATCTTATATGCTACACAAGAATCACTATGTAGAATGATCAATAATTCTAAATTACTTTGGAATTAGCATCATACCTGCGTTGGAGGAGTGGACGGAGAAGAAGGACTTCGTCGCAGGCTGCGAGTTGAAGCGGGAGAAGGAAGACCTGCGCTGGAGGAGTGGACGGAGAAGAAGGACAGAAATGAAGGACTTGGGAGAAGGGAGACCATCGCAGATGCCGGAGAAGAAGGACGGAGAGGTTGTGGAGGTTGAAGTGGGAGAAAGGAGATTTGGGATTTTTGGGGCAGGAGACGAAAAGCCACCCAAAAAAAAGAAAATTGAAAAAAAATTAAATTTTAAATATATTGGGTGGCATGCTTGGAGGCACAAGTGGTGCCTCTTTAGCATTTTCCAAAAAAATTTAACCTAAATTAAACCATATAAACCAAAAATCTAAACCCAAATTAGCCAAACCCAACATATAACCAAAAATCTACACAACCAAAAATCATATCCCATTCCCGATTGCTTTGCGGAGAAACTGTCCGTCGTATCTCAGATTCAAGGAGGCATCGATTCTTCATCTTTGATCCCTCATCTTCGATCCTTCACACGCGTCAATTCTTTATCTCGATCCTTCAGATGCTCACTAGATCTTTCCTTCGACGCTTCCCTCGCTTTTTGATGCTCGTTTGATCCAATTTTTGGAGCCCTAGATTCGTCTAATGCTTGGGCAACAGATTGTGAACTCAATTCCGGATTTTTGGAGGCGGATTCTGACGATTCGAAGGTCAACGCCATTGTCGTCACTATTCATCTCCGACTTTGGTGTTTTTATTCTACTCGATTCAAGCATAATTGATCGGTTATCTTTTGGGTTTCTAAGCGGTATTGATTCCTCTCTCAAGGTATGATGTTAGATTCCATATCCATTTGAATTTTCATTAGATTTGAAGATTTTTTAGGTTCTAATTCACTGTTCATTGTGTGACTTTGGAGTACGATTTGTATTCGTTCTTTTTGGTTTTCGGACATCTTTTTGTGGATTCTTGGTTGCCCCTTTTTAAATTGAGTATGTTGTACCGTTTTTTGAATTAATTGTTTGTGTTGGACATTTGAGATTACTTTTTTAGGGAGGTTCTAGTCAGTATGTATGGTAGAATAATTTTTTTGTCATTTGCCCAACTTTAATAGGGGCTCTTTGAGGCTGGAGGTTTGAGACTCTAGGGTCTGAAAATGACTAATTGGGGGCTTGTTGAGGCTGAGCTTCGAGACTGGTTTTGTGATGTCAAATTTTTATGTTGAGGATTGTTTAAGATGTGTTTGAGTTCTGGTTTTGAGGATGCTGCTGGGATGTTCAATTGAGGTTTCTAAATTGAAGTTTACCAAATGTAGTGAGGCTTCTAAGCCGAAAATGAACTTGGGGGCTAAGGAAAGTTGTGAAGGAACCTGCCTAGCAAGTTGGTGATGTCTTTTCTTGTACAAATCCATGAATGCATTAATCAAGTTGGGAATAAATTCCAGAAAGAGTTTGGATGTGGGTTCAATTTTTGCAGGTTTGTGATTCTATATATTATAGCTTCTTTCATTTCTTATTTTCTCCAATAGTTGTGACAAAACTGTCATTTTCACTTAGTTATTTTAATTAGCATTTTGAATGATCAGTTATGAAGATGCAAGCATATGATTTGTTCTCTCTAGAGGTGGCTGAAGAACAGAATTGAGCCTCATGTGTCCCCGAGCTAGTATTAAAGAAGCAGAAGATGGAACATGAGTGGGCACTGGCAGAGAAAAAAGAGACGATTGATGTTATCATAAAGAAAAATGTCGCCAAGCAGAAGATTATCGAGAGCTAAACAGTATGCTCAGGAATACGAAAACAGGTATTTTCTGTGCTTTTTGAGCTATTATGATGTCTATCAAAGTTTAGATCAATAAATACCACAAGTGAGAGTTCTATGGTTGTGTACATTGCAGTCATATTGAGTTTTCAATAGCAGCAAGGAATCATTACATTATACTATGCTCAACAAGGACGTGGGCAGTACTATGGCTACATGCTTATGGCTACATGCTTTGGGAGTCAGATTACACAAAGGCTTACACTGGAGGAGGAAAGAATAGTCTTTCTATTTCGTCCAACTGTTTTGGACTGTTATCTTTGTTATCATGGATTGTCTTGATCTACTTCTCTTGTAGTTAGGAGTATTTTTTTCTTTAGCAATAAAACTTTTTTTCTCCAAAAAACAAGTTAGATAGCAATTAGTTTTTTTCTAGTTAAAAAATAGTGGTAATTAATATTTGTGCAAAACACTATTGTATTTTCTACATTAAAAGAATAGTTGTAGTTAATATAGAAATCTTTATTTTAAAGAAGATCAATTAATATCTTCTTTAAATCAAGGAGTTCTATATTAATTACTATTATTTTTTTTAAAAAACAAATAATATGACATTAGCAACACTTGTAAGTGTGTCAAGCTATAAACACACATATAAATGCGGCAAAATAGGGTATTTACCACACATACTAAGTGTGGTTAATATATTCATTAGCCACACTTATTAAAAAGTGCGGCGAAAAATTCCCCACAATTACGTAGCCGCACTTAGGTCATGTGTGGCAAATGGTTTTTTCCACATTTATAAGTGTGGCGAACAACAAATTTAGGTGCGCCGAAACACTAATTTTCTCGTAGTGAGTGTGGTCCACCATGAAATGCTTCAGCGCTTCGGGGATGGCATCGGCGTGGACGAGCTGGAAGATGAGCTATTTGTCGTCCACGCAGAGCTGGAGAGTGGCCGACTTGTTGTCGTTGGGCCTCCATTCCAGGTCCAGGCCCACCACGACCGTCGGTTTGCCGGCGTGCTTGGACCGGATGTCGGAAACCCAATCGGTGACGTCGGCCGCTCTCTTGGTGACAGTGCATGGTTTCGATGGTGTACTTTGAATTGGTAGAGAAATACATGATGACTATTTTGATGATGCCCTCAATTGGCATTTCAATCGTTTACAGAAATCATATATTATCCGATTTTTGAATACACAGTAAAATTTTGAATATTTTTTTTTGATAAAAACTAGGGTGGGACGGTCCATATATGTTTTCATTCCATAGAATCTGTAGCTTAATTACCGTTAGTATGCAAACATTTCTGTTTTATCAGAGTAACTAATCCCTCCATCCAGAAATGTTCTTTCTATTTAACTTTTCACGCTCTCCAATATTACACTTTGACCATTAATATCTATATATATACATAGATATATTTTATAAAAATTTGATATTTAAAAACTATGTTTCATATATTATGAATATATTGATTTTAAATTTACATCATAATACAATGTGTTTTTTCCACAAATCTTTATTAAAATTTATAAACTTTGACCAAGAAAAGTCAAATGTGAAGAACATTTTCGGACGAAGGGATTAAAATTTATTTAGTACCAACCATATCAGAGTAAACACCTTTTATTATAAACAAGCAACCAACAAAATTACTCTCTGTCTCACAATGAATTGGAATGTCAGACTTTAGAATTTAAAATTCATGACAACTTTTTTTAAATATTTACTCCCTCCATCCCTTAAATATATACTCCCTCCCATTTTGACTTTTAAAGAATTTAAGGAGAGTATATTTCGGTGTTGACTTTCCAAAAATGTCTTTTGATGTAATGGATAAAGTAGGATGTAATGAGTAAATTAATTAATAGAGAAAAAGTGTGATGTGATAGGTAGATTAAAAATTAATAGGGGTAAAAGTAACTTTTTAATAGGAAAAGAGAAATATTTTTGGGATGGATGAAAAAGGAAAGGGGAAGTGTTTTGTGGGACAGAGGGATCGGAGTATTTTTTATCATTTATTTGACAAAATAAAATATTCTTGTCATATATTGTTTTGTAGAGCATTTTACATAGTTTTTAAATATGTAAATTTATTTTTTTTCTATAATAAGCTTCAAATAAAGAAAATTGGAATTATATGAGATTATTATTATTAATATTATTATTATTATTATTATTATTACTTCTGTCCCATTTATCTTTCCTAGAAGGCCGGAAGTACATATAACTTGTCCTGCCGGTCATACCCAGTCAAACTTATCCAATTATATTTACACCATAATTTGTGCAAAAAAAGGTTGATGGATAAATTAAATAATGTGTAAGCAAATGGCTTGAATTTGTTCCATACAGAACTAAAAGGTAGCACGTAACGTTTCACTGAATTGTGTCAAGTATGTTTTATACTCTTTATGATATATATTTTTGTATGATCTGCCATACATGCATGCCCTCATTAGCAACAATTATTGGACAATGACTTAATATGATTGACTCTGCCAATGTAGTCATTAGCAACTAATTTTGAATAATACGGAGTAACTGATTATTTCAATAACTATTCAAATTGTTATTAATATCCATTTGCAAAAAGTCTCCTCAACCTTTGAACTTCCAATGACCACTTCCAAGATAATAAGGCACGTGAGATATTAATTTATAATACCCATTGATTACTCCGTAAGGAAAAGGGTTCATTAATTACTTTCCCCACTTTTGGTATTTTACTCAGCGTAGTGCCATAGTTTTTGACAGAGTAGCATTTTTATTGTGTACTTGTCATTTTTGTTAAACTAAAAATGAACTAATTTAATACATACTCCGTCTAAAAAAGAATTACACTTTTTACTATTTGAAAATCATGTAATCTTTTTTTATTTAGTCGTTCTGATTGATTATTTGATAAAATAAATTATTTTTGTCACTTCTTATTTTGTATAACTTTTTGATGTAATTTTTAAGCATGTAAGTTTTATTTTTAATTTTTATACAAATCTTCAAAAAACAAATTTAAAAAATTTGAAATTTTATTTCGTTTTACTACCTCCGTCCCAGAGTATTTGTCCACTTTCATTTTTACAGACCATCCAATACATTTTTTTAATCCATTTTATCTTGTAATTTGTATATTAAAAAAATATAGAAATTACATATTAATAATCTATATGTTAAGACAAATCAAACAAGATCACACATGACTATATTTAAGCTTACCCATTAAGAGAATTTGATGAGTTAAAGTGGTTAGATGAATAATTACAAAATTTGGGGAGTACGGGCCTGTTCTTTAGGACTGAAAAAAGAGCGGGAAACTAGAAGGAACTGGAAGAAACTGGAAAAAACTGGAAGAAACTGGAAGAACTGGAAGAAACTGGAAGGAACTGGAAGGAACTAGAAGAAACTAGAAAAACTGAAAAAAATTAAAAAAACTTAAAAGAAATTGAAAAAACTAGAATAAATTTTAAAATCTAAAAAAAAGTTTTTAAATTTTTTTTATGTGTGGTTTTAAATTATTCTCATTCTGATTCTTGTTGATATAAATTATTATTATTACTATTATTATTATTATCATTATTATTATTATTATTATTATTCTTCTTCTCTTCTTCTTCTTGTTGTTGTTGTTGTTGTTGTTGTTGGTGGTGGTGGTGGTGGTGGTGGTGGTGGTGGTGTTATTACGTTATCCAAATGGTTGTCTTTAAAATAAAAAAAATATTACGAATATTATTTTTCATACATAAAAAGATATTTTAAAAAATTAATTAGAATATAAAATTAGCATAAATATCAAAATGTTAAATAGTTGAGAGTTATTATGGCTATGCTGTATTTATTATAAAATAATATATTTGTAATTATATTTTATACATTACAAGATTTTGTTTTAAATATCTGACATGTCACATAATGTAATCAAACTTATTTTTTCTTTAAGGATTGACAATTTATTTCCATTGTAACCCTATTTTTTGAATAAAAACATAGAACTGGTATTATTCATATTAAAAAGTTGAAGAAAAAAATAATGAATGTGAATCATAAAAATAGTGAGATGAAAAAATGAAATAATTTATAAATATAGTTATGAACATAAAAGTTGTAATTAAAAAATTGTAATAATTATAATAATAATATATTTTTTTAGATTTATTTGTGAGAAGGTAGAAAGAATTTGAAGAAAATAAATATAGTTGGAAGAAATTAGAAGAAACTAGAAAAAACTAGAAAAACTGGAAGAAACTGGAAGAAACTGGAAAAAACTGGAAGAAACTGAAAGAAACTGGAAGAAATTGGAAGAAACTGGAAAGAACTGGAAAGAACTCAAAGAAATGAAGTGTTGGGTCAACTCTTACACAACATGCCCTACATCGTAAGAGAGGCTTAAAAACTATGTGGCCCACACTCTGTATTCAGTAATCGGCTCTGTCAGTTCATCGTCGTCGTTGTCGCCGCCGCCTATAGCGACCTGAACCGAGCAATCTGGGAACGAAGCAACTCGCACATATTTACACATCTCAAGGTGTGCGAAGTCTTAATTTTCCATTTCAATTTTCGCCTTACAATGATTTTCAATCTGGTTTATAGGGTTTCTCACTTTTTGTTATGATTTTATTTGTTTCGATTGAAGAACACCTTGTTGTTAACTTGTTTGAGTTCTTTCTCCTAATTTGCTGCCTTTCAAATTTAACAATCCTTTGCAAAATTTAATGTGTGGTAGTAATTTAACAGGGGAGCTATGCTGTAAGGTTATGAATGTGATGAATTTCATCAGGCTAAAATACACCATTTGGTTCTTTTAACTTTATGAGTTATGCACGATTGGTCCTTCAAGTTTCTAAAATTCATGAGTAGTCCTTTAACGTTATGAGTTGTGTACGATTTGTCTTCAACTTTCAAAAGTCCATAAGTAGTCCTCTAAATACACGTCAATCCTTCAGATGAGGTCCTTTTGACTGTATACATTAAAAGCTAAATAGAATACTAGTTCCATATAATACGAGTAAGTTCTACTAGGTACGACTACTACGTATTATATGGAGCTAGTACTTCATTTAGCTTTTAACGTTTACCGTCAAAAGGGATAACGTGTATTTGGAGGACTATTTATGGACTTTTGAAACTTGAAGGACTAATCGTGCATAACTTATAAAGTTGAAGGACTTTTTATGGATTTTTGAAACTTGAAGGACCAACCGTGCATAACTGATAAAGTTGTAGGACCAATAGTGGAGTTTAGCCATTTGATGATGGGTTGAGGAAGTTCTTCTTTTTATCAATTTGAATTCTGCTCTTTAAAATATAAATTTAACAACAGTCCTTTGCAAATTTCAAGAACAAGCATTTGCGAAATATAACCAAACTTTCTAGTTTCCATCAATTTAACCAAATGCTAATTGTGCCAATTTCTAGGCCCTCTTCAATTCCTTTTAAGATGACAATCCGAGTGCTAAATCAAGAGATGGCAAATGAGCCAGTAATGGTTAAACAAAATTTCGTTGAAATTGGTAACAAAGCTCTATTGACAGCTAATGCGAGGAGGAGGTGGATTTTCGGGCTCGATGAAAATCAGAGATTCATATGGGTTGACCGTTGTGTGGTAAGAATTTTAATTCCTCTCTCTCTCTCTCTCTCTCTGTACATACACATTAGCATTGGTACGTGAGCTTAGTGCCCGATTTATTGTTACTGACTTACGGCTATGTTTTTTGGGAAGTATTTTTGTAGTTTTTTCTAGAGTTTGTGTAGTGTGAATGGTATTAATGTGGGTTTAAGAGCATATGTAGTAGGCGTATGTGACATCTATGTTTAAAGTTGATTTGGGAAATTGTCAAAACCTACAAAAAACACTTCTTTGAACATTCATAGGTTTTTACGTAGAACATTTTCATTCATCTGTAAACAACACAAAAAAAACAGAGATGTAAACAATGGCTTAACAGTTAACACAGAAGAAATCGTTGTACACTCTTCCAACAGAATTTCAGCCCAAACAAACCAGCATTGTTGTACACTCTTCCAACAGGATTTCAGCCCAAACAAACCAGTAATAATATATCTACATGAACCTCACAAAATGTAACGAAAGAACTAAATAGGTAATTCATATCAATCAAAATTTGTTACCGAAAGCTGTACAGAGGTTAGAGGTACTTCATATCCATTAATCAAGTTGTGTGCATTTAATTGCTATCCTTCTATCACCAGCCAACTCGTTTTGTTTTGTTTTTTATGGGATAATTAAAAGTAAATAATGTATGGGATGAGTGGATGACCACCCTGAGCTATGATGTTTTTCTATACCTCTCTCTCTCTATCTCTCTCTCTCTCTACACACACCATATCATTGGTACGCCGTGTTAGTGCTCGATTTATTTTTAATGTTATGTTTTTTTATGTGAAGTATTTTTGTAGTTTTTTCTAGAGTTTGAGTAGTGTGATTGTGTGAATGGTATTAATGTGGGTTTAGCCATTTAGGAGTTTTTGTAGTTGGTGTAGGTGACATCAATGTGTAAAGTTCATCTGGGAAACTGTCAAAACCTACAAAGAAACACTTTTTTTAAATGGTGTCTTTTTCATATTAACGGCATTTGCTAATGGTGAAAATTTTTCAATTGAAATCATATGGTGATGGATTTATGAACATCAATTGGTATGCTACGTAATTACACTTGTACAGTAATTCTTAATTCTATCATGTTGTGTTGGATGCAGGAGTGTACGAAAAGGGACGAGAAAAGTGAAGCCGCAATTGCTTGCACTAGGAGTTGGTGTGTCTTAACAAGGCACAAGCACAAACTTAGTAAAAGTGATAGTGATACTGCTAATATCACCTTCCCCAGAGCTTCACTTCCTGAACATCTCATTTTTAGAATCCTAACTTTCCTTCCCGCGCACGTACTTCACAATGTCGCGATTCATGTTTGTTGGAGTTGGTATAGGCTTGTCAAAACCCCCATTTTCACCCGGGACAACCTCATCCGAACCCCATCTTTCCTAAGTTTCAATACTTACACTTGGTGCGAGGTCCCATCTGAACTTCATCTTCAAACCAGCAACAGCCATTCCCATGGACCCAAATTGCAAATCACGCGCTCTTCTTTGCCTCTTTGTTGCAAGGTTTTGGCTACTTGCAATGGCCTAGTTCTGGCCAAAACTGGTTCCTACTCAGAATTTGCCCTTCACTTGGCCAATCCTGTGACAGGGGAAAACATATCCAACTTCCCCGAGTTGCCAGAAATTCCAGCAATACAGGCTCTGTGGTTACCCAATGTGGGGTATTCTAATGGCCATGTTGCTGGCATATCATATATGCCTTCCCTTGATGCCTACAAGGTGGTGCTAATCCCCTGTCATTTCATCCAACCTGTTTTGGTGCTAACCCTTGGCACAGATGCTGCTTGGCGATTCGTTGATTCCACCACTGCTAAAGTTAATGGATCTTTACGATTAAACCTTCATGAAATGCACTTCCCTATTTCCATAGATGGCTACATCTATTGGACCAATAATTTTTACCCTTCGTCCGTACTTGTTTTTGAGGCAGAATCTGAAAAACTCTTTTACATACCGTCACCTACAAAGAAAATGATATCGTCCTTCCTCATGAGCAATGGTTGGCTAGGCGTAGCGGAGTTTGAAGGCCTTTCTAATGTGCAAATTTGGGCCTTGACAAATGTGGCGCTCAGAGAATGGACTCAGATGTTCACCATAACAACACGAATGGGCAGCCTGTTTCCAAGATATAGAGGCGCCTTCAACAAGTTTAAGGGCCTAAGAAAGGCTCAACTCATCCATTGTTCGACAAGTGGGGAGGTGACACTTGTCTACTTCTCAGCAAACAAGATGGCTATGTATTGGCATGATGTGACAACCGGAGCTTATGAAGCGGTCGTCCACAACAGGTCAGATGTCCTTTATTTCTATTCACGTGTCGAAAGCCTCATTTCACCCAAGAGCATACCTTCAGCTACACATTAGCTGCGGCATATCGTTTGTCCCCCGTGGCTTCGCTGAGAGGTAATTTTTGTTTATCTGGTAGCAAATGTAGTTTGCAAAGTTTGAATTTTTACCGTTGAACTGTGAACTGGTATGCACTATTTGTTGTTTTTTACTCCGTAGATGTAACATATAGTCAATTAGTCATATACTACATGATTTCAGTGGCTGATAAAATTGGCCTGTTTTGACACCGTAACTTGTTCAAAATTAGCAACAAGCATAATTAGCTTTTCTTGAAGGTATAATCGTAACGATCCCACACGCAACAAGCATAATTAGCTGATCAAAAAGCTAACACAAGCAATCATTTTAATGAACCACTTCAAAAACTTTTCCAGAAAAGTTATATTAGGACAAAGGGAGAATAACTTGTACAAAATTGATTTAAGTAAACAGTTTAAATTTAGACGGATGGAACAAAAACTATACAGAGTACTCTATATAACTTTATTATATACTCTGTAAATTTAAATCTTATACATAAATATATGTTTTAAAATGTAATTTCATCCGCATCAGGCATTTAAGAATATTTAAATTCGCCAAACACTTTTCAATTTTCATAAGCAACTAGCATAATTAGCCGATCAAAAGGCTAACACAAGCAATCATTTTAATGAACCAGTTCAAATAGCTACCAGTGAAAAATCAACAATGAATTTTCAAACCAGGCCAATGTGCGGCGTTCAATTTTAGATGGAAGGATTCTTTTCTCAATTTGTCTTGGCATGATTATTAAAATAAATGAAATTATATATAATTGTGATTTATTTACAATTGAGAGAATCAAGATAAACAATATGTAACTCCTTTTTTATATTCTCAATATTTAACGTTTCACAAGTTTTTCTCAAGAGTAATGACAAATAATAAGAATATAATAATTCATCTATCTCCATTTTTATTATAATTTTTTTCTCCACCCGATAACTTTTGTTTATTTACGCGATTTCATTGAATATTTGATAAAATAAAATATTTTTGTTATCTCTTGTTTTGTAGTACATTTGATATACTCCGTAGTTTTTTAATATGTAACTTTTATGGAATAAGCTATTTTATACCAAAATTTGTACTCCTTTTTGTACCCTCAAAGGCATGGACCGACATTTTGTACTAATCTGATGTGTGTGATGATTTACATTGCAAAAAATGTCAGTGCAAATTTGTTACGTTACCCTTTTGGCGTACCTTAGCATGGTTGAACTTTTATTTTATATTGATATACCTATTTGTAAATAAAATTATTTAAAAAAATAAAAATTTTTCCTCATAAATCCGAATTTATAATCAAATTTGCATTAGAGGGAGTATTTTTTTTTCTGAGAAATGAGAAAAGAACCGTGAAAAAATAAAGAGGTCTATGACAATATGAAAACATAATGAAAAATGAAAAACAATAATTCTCTGTATATAAATATTGAGAAAGGAGACCCAAAACCTAATTAGGGGACAAACTTCTGCCTCCATCTTTAGGTCCAACTATCATACTCCCTCCGTCCTGGAGTATTCGTCCAGTTTTGACTTTTGGAACTGTTCATCTGAGCACTATGACTCATCAAATTCTCTCAATGTGTAAGCCTAAATATAGTCATGTGTGATCTTGTTTGATTTGTTTTATTAATATATATACAAATGGGACGGAGGTAGTATCTTCTTTGCGTTTTCTCCCCTCTTCTTCATCGCATCGTCGTCATTTCTCCGACACCTTCCGCCAGAGTTCTAGGGTTAGCGTGATCTAGCGTCAGATCTCCAATCCCCATCACCCCCTTACTTTTGTCGGAAACAGGTAATCAATCCAATTTTTTCTACAGACTCCGTAATTGTTTAATATTTTCCATCATGGCTTGATTTTTGTTTGAATGTTGGCAATTATTGCTTGTCAATTGTTGTTTTCTCTAGAAGCCCTGAAAAAATTTCTTAATCTGCAGTAGATTTTTCTTTTCATATCTACTGAATAGAAGCTTATGTGTGTTTTTCTTATTTATTGAAGCATATGTGGTTTGCCATAAAGAAATTGAAAACTCTCTTTGAGTGCTTGATTTTTTCATTTACAGAATATTGTTTAGTTTATGGTTTCTAGAATGTGATGTTGATATTTCAAGATTGTTTTTTGCTTGGGTTTTTTTTTCAAAATCTATTTTTGAGTTCTAGACTTCAATGTTGAATTCTGTGTGATAATCAAGTCAGTCTGATCTTGAATCTGTTTTCTGTTTTAAGATTGATTTGGTCAAGTTAAAAAAGGAGTTTCTTTCACCCTGGAGTTTCTAATCTGTTTTCTGTTGCTTTTGATTTCTCATTAGCATGCTTTTGTTGGGGGTGTGACATTGAGCTCCTGCAAGTTTCTTTCACCCAGGCGTGTCACTACTTGAGCTTTTGCAACTTCCATTTCATGCCATTTTAGCCAGACACCAAAAAAGTAAAATGACATCAAGAAAATAGGCCATTTTTCAAAAGTCATTTTCCAGTAGTTGTTTTCCTGGTTTCCTAACGGAGCCTAAGTGCTGCTATAACTATATAACAACATTTTACCTATCTAATGTACCACTTCACTAGGGTTGTAAAAAGTCTAGCTTGTAGTTGTGAAAACAAGATGTCACATGGTTATATTATTTTATAAAACGACTAATGAAAATAAGTATATAAAATTTATATATTTAAAAACTACATAAAGAAATTTTACAAAATACAAAACAAAAGATGACATGACTATTATTTTATAAAATGACTAATGAAAATATATAAAAAAGTAATTTAAGTTTGTATCACTCCGTATTCATTCTTCTTTGTGGCCGTTCATCATCATTGTCATCGTCGACTCTAGCAAGCTGAGCCGAGCAACCTAGGAACCAAGCAACTCCCATAGATTTGCATCTCCTGATGTGCAAAGTCTTAATTTTGGATTTCAATTTTCACCTTACAATGTTTTTAAATCTGGCTTGTAGTCTTTCTTACCTTTTGTTACTCGATATGAATTTTTTGTTTCGATTAAGAAAACTTTGTTGTTTACTTGTTTGAGTTCTTCCTCCTAATTGGATGCCATTCAAATTTAACAATCCCTTGCCAAATTTAATGTGTAGTAATAATTTGAAAGGGGAGTTCCGCTCTAAGGTTGTGAATGTGATGAATCAGATAATGGGTTGAGGAAGTTTTTCTTTTTTGTGTTGTTGTTGCAGTATGATCATTTGATGATCGTCTCACTAGGATTTTGCTTCTGTTTTTGAAAGAATTTGGAATTATCTAGTGTCATTTTTACTCCCTCCGTCCACGATTAAAGTTCCCGGTTTGACCGGGCATGCACTTTAAGAAAATGTAAAAATTTCCTTGACTTTCCCAAGGAGGAAAAAGAAAAGAAAGAGGAATCGGAAGAAGAAGAAGAGAGGAAGAAGAGAGGAAGAAGGAGGAAAAAAATGTCGAGGAATCGGAAGAGGGGGGGGGGAAGAAAAGAGGGAGGAAGAAGAAGGAAACAAACAAGAAGAAAAAGAGGAAAGAAGAAAAATCGGAAGAAGGAAGAAAAAGAAGAGGAGAGAAGAAAAATGGGAAGAAGGAAGAAAAAGGAGAGGAGGAATGGCATGGGAAGATTCTGGAGAAGAAAAGAAGAGAGGACAAAAGAAAAGGAAAGGAGAAGAAAGAGAAAGGGTGGGGGGGGCTGCCGCAGGAAGGAAGGAGAAAAAAGAGAAATAGGAAGGGTATTTGGGTCATTTTAATAAAGAAAACTTACTAAAAAAGGAAATGGGAACATTATTTATGGACGGACCAAAAAGGAAAGTGAGAACTTAAATTATGGACGGAGGGAGTATTATTGATGGCAGGTGGTGGTGTTTCAATTAGCTTGTGTTGTTTTTCTTGCTTTTTCAGATGAAAGTTTTCTTGTTGAATTGATGGCACATAGCAATATAACATTATCGACTATTTCTTTTCTTATTTGTTTTGGATACAATTTTGTTTTGTGATGGCACATGTCAATATTATTTCCACTAATATTCTTTGTTTTGTGATGGCACATGGCACGCTTCAAATAAACCGATTTAGGGTCAGTTCCAATTTAAAAATTTAATGAACCCGTTCGTAATGAAAAAACATGTCGGGGTCGGATTTTAGAACCTGTAAAGTTGTGACTCTCTAAACCATAATGCTTGAAACATGGGATGCAGGCTTTAGGGATAGGGTTTAAAGCATTGGATATATTTGATTAATGGTTTGTTTATTTTTTTAGTATGAAAATATTTGAGATAGAATTTCTTATTTGGGAAAATGCACTGATGGACTTTAGTACACATTGTTTATGATGATGCTTGTTCAGCCAGTCTAAGGATGATGTCGGATGATGTCATTGCTGCCAATCACTTGCAAAACTTGTAAGTTTCTCTTTACAACAAGTATTTGGACGACAACTCAGAAGAGGCAAGCAATATCAAAGGATATTGCAATCATATTGGCTTGCCTGTTGTTGACATTAAAGCAGCCATCCCGTCAATGCCACACCATCACATGTCGTTCTCTTTGTTCCCAATAGCGAGAAGGAAGCATAGAGTAGTAGGAGTCAGACGATCAACATTAGCTTTGGGGCCTTTGGTATACTTTTTGACCATTGGACCGCTCAAAAGAGTCCTCGTGATGATTGACCTCTGGTAAGCTCGTTTTTTCAATATAAAATTGAAATCATAAATGTTAGACTAGAGTGTAATACTCTACTTGGCAGTGATGTTCAAGAATATATTCGATCAACCAACCGTCATACAATATCAAATTACTTTTACATAACACTAAAATTATAAATTTAGGAACACCTGTTTATAACACTTGTAAGGGGAACATTTTCTCTTGTTATAAACAAGTGTTTTAAAATTTATAATTTTAGAACTATGTAGAAGTGATTTGATATTGAATAATTGTTGGTTAGTCGAGTATGTTTTGAAACTATACAATCACTGTTGTTAAGTATTGCATTTAACCTTAGTCTAATATATGATTTTAATTTTGTAATGACAAACGAGCCCACTAATGGTCAATCATCATGAAAATATGGACTCTTATGTGCGGTCAAAAGGTATATCAAAGACCCAAATTCCAATGTTGATTGGCCGGTTTCCACTGCTCTCTACTTCCTCCTTGCTCCTATGGACTCTTATTTGCCTCATCTGAGTTGTTGTCCAAATATTTGTTGTAAAATAAAACTCGCAAATTTTGTAAGTGTTAGGCAGCAATGACATTATCCATGGACTGGCTGAACAAATATTGTAAGGAATGTGTAGTAAAGTCCAATAGTGCATCTTCCCAAATAGGAAATCTTCTCTCAAATTTCTTCGTACTAAAAAATTAAATAAATCATAAAATAAATATATCCAATGCAAAAAGACTCTTGTATGACCAAAATAGACTCTTGTATGTATGTATGTGTGTGTGTGTATGTGTGTGTGTATGTATGTATGTATGTATGTATGTATGTATGTATGTATGTATGTATGTATGTATGTATGTATGTATGTATGTATGTATGTATGTATGTATGCATGCATGCATGCATGCATGCATGCATGCTGTTCTACATCTTCTACTCCATGTCCCTTTCTCCCTTTTCTCCTCAATTTTCTCCTTCTTCTTTCTCCTCGTTTCTCTCTTCCTCCATCCATCTCTTCCTTCCCTCTTTCCACCCTTCATCATTGTTCTTCTTTATCTCTTCTTATTTCTCTTCCATCTCATCTTTCTTCTAAATTTGAGCATGGCGGCAATGGTGGCGGCGGTGATGATGGTGAGTCTAGATCTCCATTTCTTCCTCTTTTTCTTCTTCTTTTCTTTCTCCTCCTTCCTTTTAGATCAGCCTGCACCACGGTGGTGGCGATGGTGGGGCTGGCCGGCGGTGGTGGGGTGGCGGCAACGGTGAGGGTGCGTTGATGGTAAGTATAGATCTTTACTCTTCTCTTTTTTCAACTTCTTTCTCATCATCCTTTCTTTTGGATCTGATGGTGGAGCTGTGGCGGTGATGGTGAGGCTGCCATGGGTATGGTGGAGGGGGCTGGTGAAGATGGTTGGAGAAAGGAGTGATGGTGGGACTAGCGGCAACAGTGGGGCTGGCAGCAAGGAGGGGATACAGCCGTGGAGGTGGGTGATGGCAGGGCTGGTAAAGGAAGGAGAAGGAGGGTATTTTAGACAAATTACACTAAAAATGAAGAAAAGTCAAAGTAGGAAGTTTATTCCCGGACGGAGGGAGTGTGTATATATATACATACATATATACATACAGTACAAATCTGAAAAAACACGGTGACATTATGACAAATAAGTAGAACTTTACTCCCAGTGCCGACAATGCACTACCGCAATGTAAAAATGCATCATCTTTCGTATAAATAGTTGGCATTTCGTTCAGGAACATAAAGCAAGGAGTAGGATAATAGGATATTGCACCGACAAGTCACCTGCTCTCTGAGAATATTTGTAAGTAGGAGAGCCATTCCCTTGTGTGACGACCATTCTCACGATAAGGTCTATTCTTGCAGTAAGGACCATTCTTACATGAACCAACTCCTATACATACATACATACACACACACACACAATATATATGTGTGTGTGTATATATATATCCGTTTAATAGTTGGCTGAATTCTTCAATTTTGTTGGTTTATTTGAACTACCTTGGGTCTGCAATTTTACGTTTTCCTTAATGGGGTGTTCTTAGTGGAAGTTTGACTTGAATATTTGAAGAATGGGGGGGGGTCTCTTACAACCTTGATGGATTGAGATATGGTTTCAAGTGCCTCTTGACTTCTGAGATATGATCACAACTTTGGATTTAAGCCGTTTAATAGTTCGCTATATATAGGCAGGCTACTTCGATTGAGTTATGGTCTTTGTATCTTAATTTATGCTGCTGATTATGGGAATAAAGCCACTTCACTAACTACAACAGACTTCGCAAAGGGTGGGTAGGCGGGAAGGCGTGCAGAGCTTCTCACTCATTGTTGCTGAATCATTTACTTATATGGATTGACTTTTCTTGCTTGGGTTTCCTATTGTAACTTTTCTTCATGGTGAAGGGCTTTGTATTTGAGACTGTTTTATACCACGGACGAAGTCCAGATTACAAGAGAAGGGTTTTGGATGAACATTGGCTGGCTATTTTGAGAAGGGTAGAGTACAGATGGAGGAAGGGCTTTATTCAAACTCCGACATGGAGGGCTCAATTAACAGGTGCCAAAAGCGGGGATGATTCAGGGACTCGCGGAAAGGGGTTAGCTTTTACTACAAAGAGATACTCAGGTCTGGTGAACAGAGAGGCAGGAGCATTCTTCATCCAAATTGAAAGTAAAGAACTCCAATTTCAGGCTTCAGACATCATTAAAGTCTCAAAGGCAAAGACCAATCAACTTTTGAGGGATACTGCTAAATGGTTAGTAGTCTCTCAATAACCTAACTTGAGCAGGGAAAGGCTGGACGATTACAAGGTTTGGAAGTCAATCTTCTACTAAGTTTCTTTGGGATTCAAATAGATATGGGGACTTTGTTAGAGTTATCTCATGAATCGAAGAAATGAAAGCACAAATCTTTATACCTGTTGGATCTAATTCAGAAGGCATAAATCTATTTGTTAAAGTTATCCTCGAGACTGTTAAGTTTCTAGAAGGAAAAGAAAAGGGGCCAGTGGATCTAATTCAGAGGCTTCAATCTCAAAGGTGGACAAGCAAAATGATGAGAGGGGAGAAGAAGAGAGCAAAAGTGGCAGCTTTCTATATCTTCTGAGCTACTTGAACAGGAAATTGAAATGGTATTAAAGGACACAAGGAAAACGGAAAGGGGACAGCTTGATGGATCAGAGGGGACAGAAAAAAATATTGAGGTGTTGGATGCACACAGGCTGTTTCAACCACCCTTTGATGCTTATTTTGAAACAGATTTTAATGCAGTGGGAAGTCCGATTCACGAGACATTGGCTAAGAAATCATTACTGGATATGCTTAAAAAGGGTTTACTTCAGAGTTCCTAATCAATCAGGGAAGGCTATTAGGTCTACTAGAGAGACGGTGAAAAGCACGGAGATTGTGGATTTAATCCTCATTGAGGGAACTAAATACCCAGTGTTTCTCTCATATTCTAGCATAGATGAGGAGGTAGTCGCAGCTTACAACGCAGGGGAGTCAGAAGATGGATCACCAAAAACTCCTGGGTAGCTTACCATGTTGATTAAATAGGTTCATCCACTTCATAAGTCTCATTACTTTCTTTTTTTAATAAAGGGTAGCTTTTACTTGTTTAATTGGCATAGTTTGAAGTCAGTTTCTTAGGATAGAATGGTACGGTCTTTGCTTTTGTTGCTGAGGATCTATGGGCTTTTTAATTTGGTTAGAATTGGTGTTTACTTATTTGGCATAGCATGGGTTAGGCAGCCTTTTTCTCTTACTCAGGTGAGTCTAGGTACAACATCCTATAGGTTGAAGCGAGCAAGGATTCAGACTCTTGCTACATTACAAATGCAGAGAGGATTTGTATACTTCAAGGTTTAGTTAGAGTTGTGTTGGGGCTTTGATGGGTGTTTGCTTAAGGAATCTGCAAATGTGTGTTTGGGTTCTATTAACTGCAAGTTGGTAGACTGATATTTGGATATTAGAGGCATTGATTGTTGGGGTGGAAGCAACAGATACATGGTCTTAGTGACCGGCTGATGTGATCATAGTGATCTTTTGATCATTTGAAAAGTTACCAATAAGATCTGCCTTACTAAGAAGGATGTGTATAACTTTGGCATTGATTGTAGAGTTACACCAACCCAAATGGTGTAACTTTGTGACACCATTTCAATTTGGTCAACACGGTGCTCTGTTCGTAAAATTGACAATTCCTACCCCTCATAATCCCCCTCGTAAACCCCTGACCTCGCCCCCTTCCTACCCCCTGCAATTGCACTGTTTAAGTTTAGTTGATATTTTAGTCAACCCCAAAATTTTTGTCATATCACTCTCATATCTTGTTCCGGGTAATCAGCCACACGATCTCGATCCCTTTTCCAGCAAGGGCAGCAGTAATACTCGTTCATAGCATTTTGATCCGAACAGAATGCACAATGATTTCCATCCTGTTTTAAATTTCATACATAAATTTTTGGAGGGATACGATTATAGGAGTATAGGTTGAGCTGTGTGTTCCAGAATCCGATCATCACCAAATTCAAAATTCCAGAATCCATTGCTGTTGAGGTGAGTGGTTGAAATCTTCCTCCACTCCTAAATTAGTTTTATAAATTGTGGTTTGGGGGAATTGGGGGTTTCTTAAGGATCATTTCTTCGATCTGTTTTAGCATTCTCTGACGACAACCAGGATGTTTATTTAGCAATGACGATATGTCTAATTAAACATACTCCGTATAAGAACTATGGAGTGGGTGTACATATAATTGTGACTTTTCGGTTTTCATTACCATCTGATTCGAAATAGATGTTTTTAAATTCGTTGGATGTCATTTTCACATTCAACTCTTGCAATCACAAGATGTCTAATTTAGTGCATTTTAAGGCATTTTGTGTTGATTCTGACTTTTCCTAAGCTATAACGATATCTCTAAGCAAATGCATTCTGTGGTTGTTAATGTTTAATTATGTTTTTGTGCATGAAGACTATAATGTTTAACTGTGCACTAATGCATTTATAATATTTCTTGCAAATCAGTGTGAATTGCATGATATAGTTTCAATCATTAGTGTTAGAGTTTTTTAAAGGATAATGCATATTCAACATAACGTTGTCCATGAGCACAAAACAATAAATAAAGAAAATCACCGAGTAATCCCTTGGGAGTAGGGATAGCAGGTTGGCAACATAAGAGGCTTGGCTATTTTGGATTGGATTAATTATGTTTGCAGGTGACTTGTTTTTGGCATAATTGTCAGAAACAAAGAGTGGCAGGAGACTGTATAAGCTTAGAGTCATGCAGATTGCAGATTATTTGCCAAAGTGTAGAAGAAGCTAGCCTGGGATACATAATGCTCATGAAGATGAAGTTGGAAAAGATGCAAATGAAAGTACATTAGAAGATGATGCAACTGAACAAGATGATGTTGCATATAAACACAATGAGAGTGATTTGATAACTTGATTGACATTGAAACACTGATAATTCAATGAATATAATGTTGTGTGTAACTCTAGAATTTTTGTATTGGTGTTTACTTTTATATGGAGGAGACATGTTTTTTGTTTGTGTTGGAGACGTTGTTATTGTTGATGTGTTTGACAACTTGACTTTTATTTAAAACATCCTTCCTCTTATTTATTCAATTTGACTTTTTATAGTTAAAAAGAATGAACTTTGAGCTAAAATTAAAAAATACAATGTTTATTTTTAAAATTAATTTGATTAAATTTATTTTGTTAAAATTTTTTGAAAAGTAATTCAAATTGAGAGTTGGAGGCAAGCCTAATTTTACTTGAAAAAGTCAAATAAAACAAATGTAGTGAGACGGTTGTACGAAGAGTTATTGAGTGTTTTGGAAAGTCAACACTAAAATATCTCTCCCTTAATTTTCCAAAAAGACAATAAAGGAAGTTTATTTGGGGAGGGAGGAAGTATTTTTTATTTAATATTTCTCAATGTAAATACTCCGTATTAAATAGTATTCAAATATTAATACAAAAAAATGTATAAAATAAAATTATACTCCAAATGAAATAAAAGCTTATTTTTATATTTCTAACTATGGAATTATAATACTTTTCAACATAAGTATTATTCTTATTTCATTTATTATTATTTGAAACAAAGCTTTAATTTCAGTTGGACGATAAAACTGGAATATATTTTATGTGTTTTTCTAAATTTGTTTGCCTTTATAATTTATAATTGAATAGGAGTGAGAGGGGAAGGGGGTTGGATTTGGGGGCATTGGAGCAAAACAAGAAAAAGAAAAAAAGGAGAAAATTAAAATGGACATGTGGTGGTACATCAACTACGGAGCATGAGATAGGGGAGTGGGATAGAGGAATTAGTATAGAGGATCCCACCTGGGATGGGATTTTCTATACCAATTCCTCTATTCCACTCCTCTATACCATAGTTGAGGCATGGCCACATGTCCACTTTTATTTTCTCTTTTTTTTGCTCCAATGCGGCAATTCATCCCCCTCTCACTCTTATTCAATTATAAATGCAAATAAATTTTTTTTAAAAAAAGTATAAACTTTGGTATTTTTTATAGTTATTTAATTATTATAATGAAATAATATGGAGTAGTAATAATTGCAATAAGAATAATATGAAAAATCACATAAATAATTTTTAAATCAAACAGATCTTTAAAAAAATAAAGACATAAAAAGTATTCTACCCCAAATGAAATTAGAGCTTTGTTATTTTATGTTCTACTCCCTTCGTCCTCATATAAAAAAAAGGAGAAAATTAAAATGGACATGTGGCGGTACATCAGCTATGGAATAGGGGAGTGGGATAGAGGAATTGGTATAGAGGATCCCACCCCAAATAAATAGGTCCAAACCAAACAATAACTATAGGGTGTTTTGTGAAGTGCCAAAAACAAATTTATGAAGACTTGGTCGAGAACGGATAATACAATAAGACTGTCTGATTGGGATGAGGGTAGATGTAATCCAATAAGCAATTAGGTTAGACTAATAACTTACAAATGCCATATTTGTATTGAGTAAAATCAGAGTTTAGATTAGATAAAATTCCACCGGAGTACTCCCTCCGTCTTAAAACTTTCTTCCAGATTCGCAAAACGAAGAAAAATCTCAAGTTTTTCAATCTATTTTATTTAAATATTGGTATAGAAATAAAAAATAAAATATACATATTTAAAAACTACATCAAAAGTTTAACAAAACAAGTGGTGACAAGAATATTTTATTTTATCATATATGCCATGAAAAAACACAAATAAATATAAATTCCCGTGAAGTTGGAATAGTGCTATGGGAAGAAAGTTTTAGGACGGAGGGAGTAATATAATACTCTCTCCTTCCCTAAAAAAAACTTTTTTCTTTCTTTTTTTATCCGTCCCAAAAAACACTTCTTATTTCTATTAAACAATCACTTGTACCCCTTACTTTTTTATACTCTACCTATCACATCATACATTTTTACTAATAATCTACCCATTAAATCCTACATTTACCCATCACATCAAAGGACATTTTTGGAAATTTAATATCAAAATATGCTACCCTTAAGTCTCTTCAAAATCAAAACATCTCATGTTTAAAGGGACGGAGGGAGTACTATGTTTGATACAAAGCTTTAGGCTTTTACCATTGGAGAGAAAAAGTATTAAAGCAACAATCATCTAATCTTTGTGCCCATTTGGCTACCGCTTTGACGTTTAGTTTCAGTGTTTAAAAAAGACTATCTAATGTAATTGCAGTGCTTTACTTTAGCTAACATTTTTCAAATTAATCTGCACCATTACAAAATTATTCAAAACACTTATTGATAATATTATGTTGTTTGGATAATTAGTTTTAGTTTTACTCATGAAGCCAAGAGCTTTTGAACAATAAGATAACACCCAACTGCATCATACATGATGCTCACCACTTCCTCCTCAAAGAAAAGCTTAGAGCCCCACTTGGGCGAAGGCCGTTTAGCCCTTCCACCACTGTCCAAAAGGGCGGTGGTGTTTAGGTCGACTCCAGCCTCGACTCCCAGTTTCTCAAGTGACTTGCACTTGAGAAGCTTTGGGTTCTTAAGCACCCTAGCCGCGTACTCTCCAACTTCAACTGTCCAAATCCTCTTACACTTAAAGACGCGAGGTGAGTAACTTGGCCCGCAAAATTGCGTGAGGGTCACCACGTTTGCGTTCTCGCGAAACGACAAACTACTCGTCCTCTTCGTGAACTCGTTCGGGGACACGAAACGAAACAGAGACACTTGTCGGACAAAAACTACCCGAGAACGCAAGGGATTCGAGCGTTTTGGCTTTTTGTGGTCATGGGGTCCAATTGGATGATGAGGCACTTGGTGTTTGTGCATAGTATGAGAAGTGCACATCTCCTCCTCCCCAATGCATCCCTGCATGTCTTCAAATCCAACCCGACAAACGGGTTGCTCGCGGTCAACTCCAGCTCCGCTAGGGCATGGTCGACGAGCTTCGGGTCGTCGATCACTCGTGCCCTGACGGTAACACCACCAATAGTAACGTCATATAAGCCCATTCTTGACAGGTAAGTCGCGGGGATCATTTTGTCAATAGTAACGTCATATAAGCCCATTCTTGACAGGTAAGTCGCGGGGATCATTTTGTGATGCTCTCCCTAGCTCGCTTTAAGGTCGAGCATTTGGTTCTAATGTTTTAGCTTGAATTGGTCTTTTCTGGGAGAGTATTTATAGACGTTAGCTCTTTATTATACTCTCGGAGAGTATCAAACTCTTTTTGAAATTTGAGATTTTAGTTATTAGATTTCAATTGAAATTAATATTTTTTTAGAAAAACCCGAACAAAGTGATTTGGTCAAATTACCTTGACCATCCCAAAGTTCGGAGCTCTTTCAAATCGCACGTACAGTAACAAAGGCAGATCAAACACCTTTTTTTGGTCAATAATACGTAGTAGGTGTTTACACTGTCATTGTTATACTACCCATTTACTACATTTTTATACTGTAATTGTCATTCATCGTCACCGAACACCAAATGCCACCGCCAAACACCAACACTATGTTTGGTTCAAGGATTTTGGAAAGAAAAGAAAAGAAAATGATCTTCTCACATTTTCCTCATTAAAATGGAAGGAATTTAGTTTTCCCTTCTTTTAATATATTTTGCCTTCTTAATTTCTTTTCCTCCCACTTTTCCTTTCTAACCAAACAACAAAATCAATTTTCCACTTCATTTTCTTTTCTTTTCCCTTTCAAATTCCTTGCACCAAACATAGGGCCAAGTGTCACCCCTGTTTTGGTCTTAAAATACCTAATATTTTTATCTTGATATTTTCATATATTTTTACTCTTATCCATAGAGATTTTATAAGAAGTATCTTGCATAGACAAAAACTACTCCATCCGACTCTCATATCTTTTCTTCTCTTTTTTACTTTTTTGATTAACTTTTTAAAATTTTAACCACAAATTCTGATAAGATTAAATTGAATTGTGATATAAATTTAATATCAATGTTCATTTTGAAAAGTACATTAAAAAATCATATTTTTATAATTTCCCGCGACTGCTTAAAAAGCAAATGTTGTGAATATTTAGGGACGAAGGGAGTATAAAATATCGTTGGTTTCAAAAAGTGGCATTTTGTCCCCTCTGTCAGTCAAATTCCAACATGGACCGTGCTACAGTGCACCCACCTATGCCTCTTTTGTTGCCTCCCTATTTAAGGTGTTTTCTTCCTTTTCTTTCCTCTACGTTGCTATGGCTCTGCTATACCACGGCAGCGACCCCCCGACTCTCCTCTCCCTTTTCTGTGCTCTCCTTCCTACAAGGCAGGTAATTTCTTCCTTTTCTTATCTTCCTCTTCATATCTCTGATGCGTGAATCCCGGTAGCACGACCATTTCTCTATCAATCTCTTCTCTTCATTACATTTTTAGTAAATTTCTATAGCAATAATTTTTTGAATTTTTGTAGAGTACATAGGGTATTTGGTGATTATGGACTTACAAACATCTATTGTTACACATGTTGAGAATGATCAATCCCATGATTTTGGTGGTGAAGAAGAAGATCTAGTTTTATATGAGTTGCAGCCCAGTTGTAAGTGTTTATATTTAGACCTCATTCTATATTCATTTGAAGTAGTGAAAAAAAACTGTTTTGTTTTAGTGTTACAGAAATTAAAGTTCTGTGAATCTAGGGTTTGTCCTTGTCACAGATGCTAATAATCTGTATGCACTCTGCATTTGGTGTATTTTTTCTTCATAGTCAGGCACTGTATTATATTAAAAGTACAATTTTTTGCAGCTTTTGAACCAGATTTATTTCTTAACGATCCTTGCTTTCAGTATTTATTTAACGAAGAAGGGCAAGAACAGGCGAGTGGTGAGATCGGACAGAACACAGATGACATTAACAATGATGTCCGGAACAATGGTCAATGTCCTTCTAAACGAAACAAAGGTAGCGTGCCTGAAGTGGTGATGAAGTTTACAAGCATTGAAGAAATCCGAGAACACTATCTGGCTGAGTTTCACATACATTAATTCTCTGTGACGTGTGTGACATAGACAGTTATTCCATGTGAGCACCATGAAATCTATTACAACATCCCCACATATGTGATAAGATTATGAAGATGGTGTATGTGCATAACGTTATGTAACTCTATCGTCACATACATTAAATCTCTGTGTAATGGGTAAAGTAGACAGTTATTTTCTGAGTTCCATGCACATAAACTGATGTAAACCTGATGTAACTCTGTCTTCACATACATTAAGTCTCTGTGAAATGTGTGTATAATGTAAAACAACTGCAAAAAACATATACTACCTCCGTCCCATTGTGTTTGTCCACATTTGACTTTTGGAACTGTTCATCTAAGCACTTTGACTTATCAAATTCTCTTAATGTGTAAGCCTAAAAATAGTCATGTGTAATCTTGTTTGATTCGTCTTAACATATAGATTATTAATATATAATTTGTATAATTTTTTAATATACAAATTACAAGATAAAATGGATTAAAGAAGTGCATTGGATGGTGTGCCAAAAGGTAAGTGGACAAACACAGTGGGACGGAGGGAGTATGTGATAAGATTCTGAAGATGGTGTATGTGCATAAAGTTATGCAACTCTGTCGTCACATACATTAAATCTCTGTGTAATGGGTAAAATAGACAGTTATTCTCTGTGAGGGCTATGAAAGTAAATCTGTAAATCAGTCATAAACTATATGAGTGTTTAATGTAAAACAGTCCTCTGCACAACTGCAAAAAACAGCCGTAAAAATTGAATTAAATGTATTAACTGAACAAATTTTCATTTAGAAAGAAATGAATAGCGGGTGGACAAAACACTCCCTCCAAACACTGCTTTCGGTACAAAGTCCAATAACAAGTGGGATACATTTTGACCAACTGTATTGTAATTGCTTAAGAACCAAAACTACTTACACCACACTAGAGTGTAATTGCTTAAGAACCAACTGTATTGTATTATAATTTGCAGCGCAGAGTGCATCACATACACTAACACATTGTGCATTAACAAGTACAAATTCATGATTATAAAATCCCCATTACAAAGGTTTCAAACTAATCTAAAGTGTTTCCCCAAAAAATACATTACAAAGCACATAAATCATTACAAAGAGTTTCACAAAAATAAAAGACCCCTAAAACTAAAAAGTAAAAATGCTAAATATTGGTTGTTTTCCTTCCACGCCATAACCTAGCTGCAAATTGACATCGGAAATCAGCCATGTGTTCAGACCTGCAGTCTAGGCTTAATGATAAGCCAACCAACAAAGACTCTAGAAATGCAAGCACCATCACGTACTCTACAATTGCCATACCTGCAAGGGAAAATAATATTAAAAAAAAGTAGGGGGTATGATTTTCACCACTCCTTGGGAGTACCATAACGAAGTAATGGCGAACAAATGGAATTCAGAAGAAGCATAGTACCTTTTCATAGACAATAATGTTATATAAAGTTCAAATAAAGAACTTAACCATCTATGCCATACAATTCACACAGTGAATGTGATTAAACTCTTGATAAAACTCTAGCAGTGAATGTGATAAAACTCCTGGTAAGAAGAATCAATCTGGCACTGAATGTGATAAAACTCTTGAACCAGACCAAAAAAAGTTTTCATGGGCTAAAGCAGGATGTTCATCTAGAAAAAATATTTTGTCTATCCGAAACTAGTGAAACATATTCTCTTTGTGTTTTTTAGCATTCTTGAGTGTCAGTGCGTGTGATACTATTAACCAAATAGCCAACCTCTTAGGTAATCTATAGTTCTCAAAAGAAGATTCCAAATTTACTCTTTTAAGTAATAGTTTTATTGAAGTGTGCTAAGCTTTAAGTTGGTATTGCCAGGTCGAGCTAGTATATTTCCTCTACAAGAGGGATCTTGTCTACCGGATACCATAAAAACCTTATATGCTACACAAGAATCACTATGTAGAATGATCAATAATTCTAAATTACTTTGGAATTAGCATCATACCTGCGTTGGAGGAGTGGACGGAGAAGAAGGACTTCGTCGCAGGCTGCGAGTTGAAGTGGGAGAAGGAAGACCTGCGCTGGAGGAGTGGACGGAGAAGAAGGACAGAAATGAAGGACTTGGGAGAAGGGAGACCGTCGCAGATGCCGGAGAAGGACGGAGAAGAAGGACGGAGTGGTTGTGGAGGTTGAAGCGGGAGAAAGGAGATTTGAAATTTTTGGGGCAGGAGACGAAAAGCCACCCAAAAAAAAGAAAATTGAAAAAAAATTAAATTTTAAATATATTGGGTGGCATGCTTGGAGGCACACGTGGTGCCTCTTTAGCATTTTCCTTTCAACATTTGTATTTCACACTCCAGAGTGCGTTGATGTTTGACAGCGAGGGGAATGAGTGCTCACTTTCTAAACTACCGGGGCATTAGAACCTATTTTCGTTCTATTTTTTACTCCGTATATTTTTATTTTTTCTTCTCTTTGTTTTCTTTTAAAAAGCTTTTTTAATTTTTTTTTTATTCTTTTAAAATTCAAAAATGTTTACGTTTTAAATAAAAATAAATGAAAAAATATTGTGTACTCCATCAGTCTCAAGTTACACATTTCATTTTTTTTTAAAATAAAATATTCTTATCGTCACTTTCAAGCAAATAACGTATAGAAAAATGAAAGATTAAAAAGAATGGCAAAAGGAAATGAAAAAGTAAAAAGAAACAGAAACCACTCGAATAGAAAAGAGAAAACATATCCATGAAATTAGGTGAAAATTTTAGTACTATATCAATATAAATCTTATTCTATTCCATAATTGGATTGTTAGAAAATATTAGTGTAGAAATGGTAAGTGACTATGTCATATTTATTGTTTCTACGGTAATTGTTTTCTATAACATAATAATTCCATATATTATATCATAACTGGTAATTAAAATTATTCCTTTTCAATTAATAAATTTACTACTTATAATATCGTGTTCATGTTTTAAAGAGACATATGTCAAATTCTTAGAATTAGGAGTCTCAAATTTATATATAATAGATTATATTGTGATTGAGAGGTCACTACTATATTCATTATGGATCTTTTAGCTCATTAATGAAAGTTTTTTCCTTTAAAAAATTAATTTTACTTCATTAATAAAAAAATATATTTACTCATAAGTTTTCATCAAGTAAAAAAATTCTTTACTTGTTCTAAAGATATTTAATTTAAATTTATTCAAGAATTTGTGACAATTCTAAATATATCTTGTCCACAAAATTATAAATATTTTCAAACATAAATTTATTGTTATTAAAGTTTTAAAGTTTTGGGCTCTATATTTAATTAATGTACCTGACCTAAAACACACTTTTTAGGCCCACGTGCTCTATTTGCATTGTTGGATTCGTTCCGTCGAATCCTACACAACATTATAAACCTTTTTATCAAACGAAGAATATTTCATAATTCCACCAAGCCTGTCTCAGTAATTAATTAACTATTCCTAATTAATTTATTCTGATAGACCGAGTTTCGAGGCATTACACCTTTGGTCATGCTGTCACACATGGCACACCGTGAACTCCGCAGAACGCACTCCACCACTATTGTACGCATGAACTTGGGCTCCGATACTACATGTTGGGACTAGGCGTACCCTCACCCCAATCCTTCTTTAGTACTCCCTCCGTCCCGTGAAACATTTCCCCTTTCTTTTTTTATCCGTCCCACAAAACACTTCTCATTTCTATTAAAAAGTCACTTTTACCCCTTACTTTTTCATACCCTAACAATCACATCATACCTTTTTACTAATAATCTATCCATCAAATCATACTATTACCCATCACATCAAAGGACATTTTTGGAAATTCAATACCAAAATACACTCCCTTAAATCCCTCCTAAAAAGCAAATGTCCCATGTTTCACGGGACGGAGGGAGTATTATATTGTACGCTCTGTGTCAAGCCCTCATAACTTTATTTTTGGGCATCTCCTAAAAGGTCATATAAATGTTGGTTTCCCTTCTCTTGTTCTTCCTATGTGGGTGGCTAGTTTGCAACCAACACAAAATAAGATTCTTTTTTTATTATTAGCTATAGTTTTGGGAGAGGTTCAAGTGACATTAAACTCCAATGTCATAATATGAGAAGGAAACTAAATCCCTCTCCTTGTTTTAAAAAAATGGAATTACGATTCAAAATATTAACTTCAATTTCCTCTATTCCCCTCTGAATTGGAGGGATTTTCCTTCTCTTTTATCTTCTTCCTTTTCTTCCTACAATTTTCTCTTCCTCTCATTATTAAAAAAATTAAATAATACGTAGTAATAATAATCCGGTATAAAAATAAAAAATAAGATAAAATGGATATAATAAAAAATAAAAAATTTATGAGGGAAATGCTGCAACTTAAAAAGAGAATCAGTAAATTTGTAGACCCTCTCCTGCAAATAAGTTCCTTGAGATCAGAGGGCTTCTCCTCTTGTCTCTTTTCGCCTTCTTCCGTGAACTTTCTCTCTCTCTTGTATTACAAATAAAATAAAATATTGATAACCATGAGAATAAAATATAAGATAAAATAAGTATAATAAAAAATAAATAAGATAATGATTGTCAGTGTCCCAAAAACAATTTAGTGTGTTCCTAGCATGACTCTAAAATATAATTTGGTGTGTTTTTAGCATAATTCTAAAAAAAACTCTTTCCGCCTCATAATAATGTTCCAGCTTCGGATTGCAGTGTTTGAAAAAAATTGATTTAAGTTTAATTTATTTAAAGATTGGTGTATAATTAATAAATAAAACTTCTATAGTCTCAAAAAAATTTATATATTTAAAAAGTACTAAAAAATAATACAAAATCTAGTGATGACAAGATTATTTATATCAAACGACCAATGAAAATAAATAAAGATTGTACTGTGACTATAATTTTCCATGAGAGGCCTAAATCTTACAATAAAAATTTACAACAATTGTTACAACACTCCGTTCGGAGTACTTATGACGCACCGTTTAATTAATTGTTCATATCCCGCCTAATACCCCGATAAATCCCCCAAACCCGACCCATCTCTGAAGAATTCACGCACCCTCTCTAATTGTATTATTTTTCAATTTGTTGACATTGTGGTCAAATATTTGACCAAAATGAAAAGTTGTGCAGCGGGAAGTGTCATGATGCCTTAGAGCACTGGTAATGGTCCTCACGCTCGCCGGCGTGAACAGGCGTTTAACGCCCCGGGGGCGTGAAACACCACCCCCTCCGTAGTTATAAGGGTGTGAGTCGCCCATCGTCATACGTTTGACGTGGCGTGGCTCCAATTTTTTTAGCCGTTCCCCTTCCCAACGGCTATAGAGCCGTTACCCCCCCCCCCCATTAAAAAAAATTCCAAATTTAAAAAAAAAAACCTATAAAATCCCTTCTTCTCATACATCTTCCTCACACCTCTCTCTCACAAATCTCTCTTTATTACTATATATTCTCTCAAAAATATTTATTATTTATTATAAATATTTATAAAATATAATTTAAAAATGGGTTCATCTTCCAACGATGAAAGAAGAGCTTTATTTTTTTCGTTGTTTCGCGACGAATTGTATTCAATGGTGGGAAGATGGCCAAGAAGAAGCTGAATCCTCCCGACGACGGACCCGACGCCAACGTCTAAACTGGGATCGAGCGGCCGCCCACGATTCACTTCTAAACGACTACTTTAATAATCTGTGTGTTTATACACCGGAGGATTTTAGTAATCGTTTTCGGATGAGTCGTCCTCTGTTCTTACGCATACTCGCCGATGTTGAACGCGAGGTTCCTTGGTTCAACCAACGGTTTGATGCGAGAGGCCGACGCGGGTTTAGTAGCTTCCAAAAGTGTACTGCCGCGCTCCGTCAGTTGGCGTACGGGACAGCATCCGATATGTTCGACGAATACTTAAAGATGTCTGCTCGGAGCATCAGGTCCTATGTTTATAAATTTTCAAAAGCTATTATTCAAATTTATCATAAAAGATATTTACGCAAGCCTACAGCGAGCGACATCCAGCAGTTGCAGGCGAGGCATGCCGCTAAATACGGCTTTGTCGGCATGCTTGGGAGTATTGATTGCACGCATTGGGAATGGAAAAATTGTCCCACTGCGTGGCACGGTCAATTCTCCTGGGGAGATCATCCCAAGCCTACCATCATGCTCGAAGCTGTTGCTTCGAATGACTTGTGGATTTGGCAGACTTTTTTCGGTGTCGCGGGCTCGAACAACGATATCAACGTTCTCGATCAATCGCCTATTTTTGACGATTGGGTTAATGAGACCGCACCGGACTCCTCTTTTGAGCTTAGAGGGACGCTTTACAAGCGTGGATATTATTTGGCTGATGGAATATATCCAGATTATTCCACGATTGTCAAATCTCTCTCCGAACCAATGGGTCTTAAACGCCAAACCTACAAAAAAGCTCAAGAGGCGGCGAGAAAAGATATTGAACGAGCCTTTGGGGTCTTGAAGGCTAAGTGGCACATTCTAGATCGTCCGTCGAAATGTTTTTCTCAGACAAAAATGAGGAATATCATGTACGCATGTATTATTCTTCATAATATGATCATAGAGGATAACGGGTCTGCGATTTGTCAATACAACCCGGACAAGGAGGTGCCTATGTACGAAGAAATCACCGAAGAAAAGAAACGACGCAACCGCCAAGAAATTCGAAGCCGAGAGATTCACAATGCACTAACGGCGGATTTTATCGAGCATATCTTTAGTCGTTTGAATAATTAGTGATTTCTTTGTACTGTTGTTTTTTTTATGTAATTTTTTTTAATGAATGTAATTTTTTTTAAATGTTTTTTTATGAATGTAAGATTTTTTTTATAATGAATTTATTTTTTTATGCAATAGTGCCATTGCGATTAATTAAAATAATAAATTAATTTAAATTTATAAATTTAAATTTAGAAGATGTATATTTAAAAATGTAAAAAATGAAGGTTTGAAGCCCCAGTTTGAAGCCCCGGGGCTTCAAAACCATTTCCAGTGAATTTTGGGTGTAAGTTAAAGCTGACGTGGCAGAGAGAAAGTTTGAAGCCCCGGTTTGACGGGCCAGACTTTATTTGTTTATCGAAAGGGTAAGAATAGTAAGAACAATCATTTCTGAAAAAAAAGCATTGTAGAGTCTCCAAACCCAGTATTGTAACATGGAGAATGCTAAAAACCCCCCACTCTTGCTACCATCCACGCCCCCTTACATAAACATGTGGTAGGAAGACAAGAAAAATAAAATTAGAAGGTGGAGAGAGAATGAGTAGAGATAAATATGTGGTGGAAAAATGAGTGGAGACAAGATTAGTAGCAATGGTGGGGGTGTGTAGCATTGTCCATTGTAACATTTGTTGTAAATGATTTGAAGAGTAAATTAGAACATTATTATGAGATGGGATTAAGTTCAGTCCAAATTATTCCTATCATCTGATTCCTAATTATTGAAGTCCTGACTCCTGAGAGCCGCGCAAGGGAGAAGTGCCACTTTGATGAATTAATTGTTAGAGCTTTTGTTGGCATGGCATTGGCATGGCCTTCAACTTCATCGCTTCCAGAACCACCGGAATCTCACTGTTCCTACTCGCCGCCGTCGTTTTCTTCCTCCTCCGCCAGCCCGCCTCTTCCTCGAACCGCCTTTTGCTCGCTGCTCACAGGTCACTCCTCGACTCCTCCCTACCCGCCTGCAGATTCTTCAGTGACGGATCCGATGGACTGCTCCACTACTCCTCCTTCCATTCCTGCCTCTTCCGCCAAAATCCATTCTTCTCCGTCCCATTTCTCGGGCTCTTTGTGTTCCTTTACTTCTACATCCTCATCGCTACGGCGCAGGTCCACTTCTCCGTCGTCGTCACCAAGCTCGTCGCTCATCTCCGATTGTCTCCGTCCATGGGTGCGGTGACGCTATTGGCGCTCGGTAATGGGGCCCCGGACGTGTTCGCTTCCGTTGCTGCCGTCAGGGGAGGCCATCCGAAGACTGGATTTGGGGCGATCCTATCTGCAGGGACCTTCGTGTCCGCTTTTGTGGTGGGGTTCGTATCGATCTATGCGGCGCCATTTTCAGTCGATCCAGCTCCGTTTGTGAGGGATGTGATGTTTTATTTGACAGCTGCAACCTTCCTGTTCTACGTGTACTTGAGTGCTGAGATTTTCCTCTGGCAGGCCGTCGGATTTGTGGGGTTTTATCTCTTCTTTGTGGTGATTGTGTTTTGGATGGATTTGGCAGATGGAAATAGGAGAGTGAAGCGAGTTAGCGATGGAGCTGAGATGGGTTTGCTTGGAAATGGTAAGACTCGCAAGGGGAGCTCTGAGATGGACTGTGAAAATGGAAAGCTTTTAAGCACCTCTGTAGAAATAAAGAATCCCAGCTCCAAGTTAAGGCTTGCCTATGACAAGGTATGTTTTACGCGTATCAAGTGTTTGTTCAATTCAGTTCTTTAGTGGTTATCTAGATGAGACTAACAATATGGTCATGTCCTTAGATAGGCCTAGCTTTAAGTTTAATGATCTAATCTAATTTGGATAATAATCTGTCTCTTTTACACTCATCAAGACGCGTCATAACTAATTTGTCACTAATGGAGGGAGCATGTGTGCAATTATGCATGAATTAGGATAGGAGGTGTCAACAACTTCTAGAACTGTATGATTATAGGAACATAAAAAAGTTTGATCTTGCAATGAAGGTTAGATACACTCAGAATCACAGGTCATAGAAGTACAAACTGTGATCACAAGAATGAGTCCTATATTTGGGAATCCATTAACTTTTTGGTCTAGAGCATTGGGAATTTGAAGACCTCATTATCTGAAATACTGAATGGCATCAATTACTGGAGTTATCATATGGTTTTGTTCCATCCCTGGGTAATCTATATGCGGGCATCAAGGCTTGATTTATTTGCTAGTTGCTACATACCAAAAAGTGGTGTGCCCATGACATTCACAGACTCTCTCTATGTTTATGATGTAGTTAAAAATACAATACATGTAGTAAAGTGCCTGCATCTTTATTCGTATAAACTAAATATTTTATATGAAGAAGGGTGGAAATCCTCCGCCCACAACCCAAACATGCCCTTGCAAGTAAAAAACATATATTTGGGTTTACTTGATACTCTCTCTGTCCCTTAATTTTCTGCTCGCTTTGACTTGGAGCGCTTATTTGGGGGCATAGCTAAGGTGGTTGAATGGTGAGTGCTAAAGGGGTAAAACCGGGTTAGACTCCTAGCAACAACGATAAAGAATGACCATGTTCGGCATTCCCAGCCTGTCCGGACTGATACTGAGGGTTCGGGTTCAACCGTTTTTTGTTGTGGTTTGAATAAATTAGTTTCTTTCCAACCCTGACCTAAAAATCTAAAACACGAATGAGAGATTGTGCCTCCTCCCCTCTTGGGAGCCAACAACCATTCTTCAAGTTCCACTGCCACTTATGACACCACTGTCATCTTCTTGCAAAATAGCTGAAGAGTTCTCTTTCTCTGCCTGTATGTAGAAGCAATTTGATTTTTCAGATTAATATTTGATTTTATGTGTACGGCATCTTCCATATACTACTGATACAAAAGTTTATCCTGTGATTCAGAATCATATATTGCACGTGTCAAGCACCTGCAGCTGCAGGTGGTTTAAGGATAAACACACTGATTAAGAAACTCGTAAAATAAAAAATGGTACTCATATATCCTTTATTATTGCCTCTTCTTGATTACTCTGTCCTTTTTTTAATTGAGATGAAGAGAGAGGCAAATGTCAAAATTAGCATTAACTACTCTCTTGATTTTATAAAAAAAACCATAGATTAAAAAAACATGTTAAATCAAAGCAACAGTTGTCGAGAAACATAAAACGGAAGGGAGTATTGGATATAGAAACACCATAAATTGGCTGATGCAACATCTTGTAAATCTTATTAATATGTGCCAGCTTTCTATTACCTGTGGTTACCATTATGCATTTTTTAAAACCTCTTTTCCCCTATTCTTTACAGGTATTGCAGGTATGGGAACTTCCAGTCTCCGTTCTCCTGAAACTTACAATCCCTCAGACATCACCTACAGAGTGGAGCAGATTTTATCAGTCTGCCAACATAGTTTTTTGTCCCTTGGCCCTTTTGTACTCATGCAGATCATTTATGCCCTTAAATCACCCAGTTGTATTTCTTCTTCCAAACACCCACTTTCCTCTTTGGTTTATAGTACTCTGTGGGAGCTCATCTCTAGCGCTTCTTCACTACGTTGTTGAAAAGGAGCCTCCAAACTCTGAGCAACTGCCCACTGTGCTTGTTGCATTCGTAATGAGTGTATTCTGGATATCAACAGCAGCAGGAGAGCTCCTCAACTGCCTTGCAGCTCTCGGAGCACTTCTGAAACTGCCACCTGCTCTTCTTGGTTTAACAGTGCTTGCATGGGGGAATTCAGTGGGTGATCTTGTTGCAGACGTTGCCGTTGCAAAGGCAGGTCAGCCTGCAATGGCCATGGCGGGATGCTTCGCGGGCCCCATGTTCAACATGCTTTTTGGGCTTGGAACCGCTCTGGTTATACAGACAGGGAAAGTTTATCCAAATGCATACGAGCTGCGTTTCCATGTGAGTATCGTTGTGGCCTTTGTTTTCTTGCTCTTAAGCTTGATGGGATCATTGCTTGTAGTAACTTGGAACAGGTTTCAAGTGCCCAGATTCTGGGGTTTCTGTCTCGTCGGACTTTACACACTATTCGTGCTAGTAAGTTTGGTCATTGCCAAGTTTTCTGCGTAATCTTAGCCAGATGGGAACGAGATATCACATTCTTTTACTGCATTTCTTTTGTGTATATATGGAAGCCTCTCAATATTTTAGGGTGTGGGCTTTTCCATAGTCTCATGTACTCCTACTTTGCGTGTTAATAATTTTTGTTACAGCTAAAATTCAACCATATTTACCTTCTGTATCATCTCATCTTGCTTAGGCTCAACTAATCATCCAATCTTTGTTTGAGATTTGTGACAGTTAATTTGTAAACATGCAGACCTTTTAAAATGCTCACTAGACTCTGAAATGCTACTCACACTCTTTTACCAATTTTACAAACTAGAATAAGATCATCCCTAAAACCTAAGTTAATTATTTTAACTGTTTTCATGTGCATCAGAACAATTGTTAAGTACTCCATGACCATCAGAACAATTGTTAAGTACTCCATAACTGTCTCCATTCCACGATTTGAGAATGTATAACTTTGACTTTATCACAATTTAGTTTTTTCAAAGGCTTCTTAAACATTACTCACTTTATGTTTGGAATAATATGCCAAGCAATAAATTCAACCAAAAGTTCACGCTTATTTGTGACTTTACGTCCGGAAAAGGTTTTGTATTCTTCCAAACCTCTTCACGTACTAGTGAGAATGCGAGACTTGTTTTTTTTTTGCTTTGAACTTTGCACGCGAAATCTTAAGTTTTAAAAAAATGGGTGACAATATTCAAATGTGTGATTCCTCGGTCATCATGACTTCAATACCATTTTAAATAATAAAAATTGAACAAAAAGTTCAAAGTTGTGATTGTAGGCCTATGAGGACTTTTCAATTTTCTAACAAACTGAATTATAAGACTAGGGTTGTAAAATGAACGAATAATTTTGATTTGATTCGTTATTCGTATTCGAAATCAACGATTTGTATTCAAAAAAATGAATATGAATTAGAATATAAATATTCATTGAAATTCGAAAGAAAATGAATACGAATACGAATGTTTATGCATTCTATTCGATATGCTAAAGAATATATTCAAATTTAAATACCCCATAAAAATTTTACCCAATATACCTGCTTCACAATAAATACAAAGCATAATATACAAAGTACTAGGACAAAATATACTAGGACAAGCTTTGCATGTACACACATCATCTCCAAACTCTACTCCCGTGGGATCTATTTAACGAGGCAGTTGTTATTTTGGACATGTCACTTTTAGTACAAAGCACTCCCTCAGTTGACTAAAATACTCTTTCTTTCATTTTTTTTCCTTTTACCATAAACTTCTACTTTCTATTAAAAATTACTTTTAGTCCTACTAATTCCTACCATACCTCTTACATTATATAATCTACCTATCATATTTTATTTTTACCCATCACATCAAGGACAAAGTTTGAAATTCAATTAAAAATATACACTCTTTATTTCTCCCAATTGTAGAATGAATAATTTCCAATAAATTATTATGGGAGATTACATGTGTATATATACAAAGCTTTCCTAATCACACTAGGAAACAATAATAAATGTATCCTATACAAATATGGTAGCTACCAATATACATGAATATTAAATACTCTCTCCGTCCACAAATAAACTTTACACTTTCCTTTTTCGTCCGTCCACAAATAAACTTTACATTTCCTTTTTTGGAAACCTTTTTCAAGCAAAAAGACCTAATTGCCCCCACTCTCCACTCTTTCTTTTCTTTTTTCTTTCTTCCTCGCCACATCTCACTCATTCCTTCTTCTCTTCTTCTCTTTTTTTTCTTTTTCCTCTCCCTTCTGAATTCACCCACAGGCCACACCGTTTTTTCTCTCTTGTTCTTTCTTTCTTTTCTTCTCTTCTTCATTCTTTTCCTTTCTTCTTCTTCTCTCTTCTTCTTTAATTCCTTTTCCTCCCTGTTTTGACTTTGTCCCGTCACCCAATGATTGGGAGCGCGGCGGTCAGATCTGCTCCTCCGGTCCTCCCGCCAGCGATTTCATAGATCTATAAAGCTTCTGTTACTCTTAGCCTTGCCTCAAGACGTCAAAATCTCGGATGGAAGAGATTAGATCTACGAAGGAGGGGTTACGGAAGGGATGGCGACAAGAAGAACCGGAGAAGTCATCCGATGGTGCCAGAGAGTCGGCGGCAGCGGTGGTAGAGAATCGCCGGAGGTGGGGGCTTTCGACGGCGAGGGGGCAGCGGCAGGGGGCTTTCGACCGCGAGGGGCTTTCGACAGCGAG